GGGGGGTCGTCTTATATTCGGGCCAATACGGTATATATATATATATATATAATAAACATACAAAATACACACATGTACACAATGTACACAATAAAAGCACTAATAAAAATAAAACAACTTACAGTATTAAACAGTCAAAAGTAAAATGCTAAATATATATATATATATATAATAAACATACAAAATACACACGCATATATTATGTACACAATAAAAGCACTAATAAAAATAAAACAACTTACAGTATTAAACAGTCAAAAGTACATAAGGTAAAATGCTAATATATCAAACCATTGTTTTGAATGAATTTACAACCTTTAAAACACATGTGACAAATTGCCCCATTAAAAATGTGACTCTTGTCCTGAGAACACAGCTCAAAATTTCAGTTAAAATTTCCCTTCCTTATATAGTATATTGGTGTGGTTTCTCATAAAATGACGAAGCCTGTATAGCAAAATGTCATCAAAATAACTTCCTTGAAACTGAAATGACTCCAACACGCCATGCATTCAGCTTGAATAATCAAGCTATGTTACATTTATGAGGAAAACTTAGGCATGTCAGCGCAAGTAAAGTCTTAAATCATCACCATAACGATTTGTCATGCATCTCTGAGATCATCTCACCCTTTAATCAAGCAAATATTTTGGAAGAAACTAGATGTAAAGATAAAAATGTATTGAGAACAAAAATGGGCTTCAGTTTGTTTAGAACCATTTACACAATATACCCAAAGCATGTTATTTTTTTTAAGAAATCCTTTTCAAACAATCTAAAATGTACTTTTTTGACACTCAGTTACTGCACTACAATGTTATCAGCTGTAATAAAAGGAATGATTAGATAATGAAAAGGCCCTTGCATCTCATTAATGAAATTGCATTCAGTTAAATTGATAAGATAACCACAAAAACGCAAACTGACTAATTGAATTTGTAAGGAAGGTAAACTGCGGACAAAATATTTACAAGAGTGAAGACTGAAAGGAGTAGATAGAGAACCAAGACATTCCAAGATTACATTTTACTTCTAGACAAACAAACTGTTGGATCTGAAGAGCTTCAAGGTGTGTGACCTTCCACATGGGGAATGGGTTTATTTTGCACAGATAAGGAAAAATGCCATTAACATTGTTTGAATGAGGCTTTTTTTTAACACAATGTTAGGAATTCTTGTCTTCAGTTGTAGTTTAATTGTCTCGGTGTAAACAGGCTGTGCAATAACAGAAGAATGTCATTGTTGTGATGTAGTGGAATTACTCCCAGTCATAGGCAGAGACACCATTACTGAGGAAGATTCACAACTATCCAGTCTATTATCTAAAACAGGACACTGTGTATTCCATCCATATGCAAGTAATCTAATAGTGATGAAAAGTAGGCTACATTGTCATAAGAGCTGTATCACAGTAACTATAAGGTTTTGAATCCAAAAGTCCAATTGCATAAAATATTGTTTTCTTTAGCAGTGTTTGTCTATGTTGGTTTCCAAAAACATTGTTGTAATTAGGAACACAATAAAACCACATGGCATCCCTTATCAAAAAGTAGTATACTTCAAGTTTATTTTATTAAGTATACTTTAGTAAAGTTCAAGTATATTTTTAAGTATACTTTATGTAGTAAGTACACAAATATCAGTGTACTAATAGTATACTTGTTAATGTACTATTTCAATACTCCTTGGGACTAAATTGGCCCACTTTCTGGTATATAAAAGTATACTTTTAAGTATACTTTAAGTATAACAGTAGTAAACTTTGAGTACACAACTAGTTTACATCAATTTTTAGCTTGTACTGCAACTATACTAAAAGTGAACTTATAGGTATACTGATAGTTTACTAATTAAATACTTGTAGTAACATTTTTAGTACACTTTGAAGTATAATCTCAGTAAACTACTAGTTTATATAATACTAGTTT